CAACCTGCGCCCAAACAAAGCGCCATAAAAAGACGAAACAGTCTATTTAACAGGAGTCGGTCTCCATTTCCGTGTCGGTAATCGTAGCATCGGAATCCGAGCAATCACTGTTGTCTTCAACTTCTTTTCTTTTGTTTTTCATTGTCAAATCTATCAGTCAATTTACTTTTCCATAACATATCTGCATGTTTTGCTTTGCATCTGGGTTTCCCGGCCCCTCCTCGTCAGCCCCTGGCGCCGCCATAGGCGCCACCCGGCACGCCCCCAAAGGGCTCCCCGAGAGGAGCCTTTTGCGGCGCCCCCGGGCCCCGACCCATATATAGTCTATTCAAAGTAGAGATGTTTTATTCAGATACGATATGAGAAATTTTGCATTTAAGACAATTTGCATATCGTATCTAGGTTCTAGCCGGGGCAATCGAGATACGATTATCGCATCTGGGATCGGCGAGGCTCAATCCAGATACGATATATCGGAATAACATTTGCATATCGGAATAAGCAGAAAATCCGTTATTCTCGTGAATACGTGCTTCGTACGGTCAGTCTGCATAAAAAAGCATAAGGTTAGGCGTTTCCGAGCCAAAATCATTCGATTTGCATCCATTTTATCGCCTACTGAGCGTCCCAATTTCCCTTAATCCGATATGCAAAAGTTATTCCGATGGTATCGTATCTCGGTGAGTCGGATTCCAATTCAGATACGATTATCTATATCGCATCTAGGATTTTCGAATTCCGATGGCTTATTCAGATGCGATATATCTGGATGCATATCGTATCTGAATAAAAACATCTCTAATTCAAAGCCAAAACAAATGCCATAAAAACTAGTGATGGTATTATTCAAATCTCAAATCTAATTTGCATCCGCCTAATCAAATCTGACGGTTTGATTTGAATAAGGGTTCAGCACTTCAAATCAAATCGATTTGATTTGAACTTCCAAGGTTTGAGTTCAAATCTGAAGATTTGAACGAGGATTTGAAAGGAGTCGAAAAAATCAGTAGCTCATTACGCGGATGCTAATTGTATGATTGCATGCATAATCAAGGTCATTCCGGTTCGCGCCAGCTCGGCCATAGCGATTTTGCTATGTTTTGCATGCCGCCATCTCCATAAGATTTGATTAAGGACCGGAAGCTTCATCAAATCCTCGAGATTTGATTTGAACTCGTCCACGGGATTTCAAATCAAATCCGCCGATTTGAAATTGAAATTTTTGCCTTCAAATATTCAGATTTGAGCTCTCAGATTTGACTCAAGATTTGATTTGAATAACCCCATCACTAATAAAAACGTTTTTTTGACCCCGAAAAATCCGAGTTGAAAATGCTGCCTGAACGTGCGCTTTAATTGGATTCGACTAGAGCAACACAAAACGTGCTCACGAGTTTAGGGCCGACCCGCCGCGATCCTCCACACGGATTGGGAGCTGCGTTCCACCATTGTACATCTGCAGCAGCCGCTACCTCCTCCAGGTAGTTGTTTTTCTTGGAGGTGCTTTCGTAATACGCGCAATACCGGGTGCCGGAAGAAGAACTTTGTTAATCTTTGCTAAAAATACAAAATTATCATTTTTTTGGTTAAAATTTTAAAATATAGTTTTTTTAATAGATTTTTTGGAATTAAACATATGACCTATCAAGATTATTCTCTGAGAACCTAACTGTTACAGCGGCAGGAGCTGCCCCGACGGCCAACAACGCGCTGTCGAGCTGCAGCGAGCAGGCCGTCACTCCAAAGAAGTCGAGCACCAGCCCCGCGCCGAGTCCGCAGCCATGACGCCGAGCGCCGCGCGAGCCGCTGCCGTGAGCCCCGCTTAGAGCTTCGAAGCTCACGGCGCGCCGCCCTATTGCTTAGAGAACATTATCGATCCGCGTGATTGACACCAAACTTTTTCGTGTATGATTTGATTTTGATTTGCATCTGTGAGTTGTACACCTGTATTGCACTGGGGAATAAAGAATTACGTTCAGAGACGCGGTATTCCCTTCCGCCAAATTTCAACTCTCCCAACTTCCCAAATCAGCAAAATCAATAAGAGCAAATTGCAAGACACAGCGGCAATTCCGGATCAAAAGCTCATCAAAGAATCAGAATCTCATTGATAGGGAGAGCGGCTGCGAGCCCGAGCGGTTTCTAAAAACACCAGCCGATTACAGCCGCGTCGCGGCTGTAATCGGCTGGCCTTCGGGCTACCTTCCATATTCTACACCACCACATTCCTTCCCTAACTTTATCAATATCCGTGCTGATGGCTTTAGATACCCCCCATAGCCGAAACCCCCGTTAAAACACTACTTAGAAAACTCCTGATGGCTCCAAATACGCCCCATAGCCGAAATCCCCTTCAAAAACTACCTAAATACCTTCCTGATGGCTTCAGATACCCCCCATGGCTGAAATCCCCTTCAAAAATTACCTAAATACCTTCCTGATGGCTTCAGATACCCCCCATGGCTGAAATCCCCTTCAAAAATTACCTAAATACCTTCCTGATGGCTTCAGATACCCCCATGGCTGAAATCCCCTTCAAAAAACTACCTAAATACCTTCCCGATAGCTACAGATACCCCCCATGGCTGAAATCCCCTTCAAAAACTACCTAAATACCTTCCTGATGGCTTCAGATACCCCCCATGGCTGAAATCCCCTTCAAAAACTACCTAAATACCTTCCCGATAGCTTCAGATACCCGCATGGCTGAAATCCCCTTCAAAAACTACCTAAATACCTTCCTGATGGTTTAAAATACCTCCCCTAGCCCGAAATCCCCTTAAAAAACAAAAATAACGACCGACCGGATGGAATGAGAGAAAAAAGAAATGAAATCCCCCGTGAAAATTTTCATCCACGAAACGCGCGCCACCTGGCTCACTATGTCCAAAATCACCCCAACCTCCGTCCCCCACCCCTTTTACTAAGGAAAAAACTTTCAAAGTTAATTCTAATAATTTAAACTAAAAGTTTTTCATAATTTTTTTTATCAGTTTGGGGGTTTCTGACCACGCTCTATCCGAATCCGAAGAGACCTAAGCTCTAGCTCCTTTCCCCTTCGAGTTGAATCCGGGACACGACGGACAGACAGACAGACAGACAGACGGACGCCTCTACTTTTTTATTATAGTTGATCGGTTAGTGGTGGCTGGGTCTTGTTGATGGGCATTTCCAGGCCCGTAGGAAGGGGGGGGGGGGCAACTGGGGCAAGTTGCCCCCCCCCAAAATCGGCCGAAGGCCGAAAAATTCATAAGGGGGGACCCTTATGATTTTTTTTCCTCTAAAATTTTTTTGCCTGCGGCGCTTTTTATAGTTGTTTTTAAGACTGTTTTTACTGTCATGGCCCTAAGTTTTCAAAAATTTTCGCCTGCGGCGCTGTTTTTGATAGTTTTGATACGTTGCCAAAAAATGTTTTTTGGAGTTGCCCCCCCCCCAAAAATCGGGGATCGCTACGGCCCTGGGCATTTCGAACTGAAAATAACCTCTTCGCCTTCCGGAAGCAGGGCATCGATTTCAGGACCGTTTTCACGGTGTGATTCATCGACAGGAAGACGAGCGAGTTTAGCGAGTGGTTGAAAACTGGAAATTCGGATCAATAAGAAAGGCCCGCATAGCTCGTAGTCAAAATTTCAATAAATACGTGGTAGTATAGGCATTGGGGTAATATAAAGAAACTCGGTACTTTAGGATTCGCGCGGGGGGAATGATTCCCGGGGGGGGGGGGGAAATCATTTTTTTCAACACAAGCTTAGGTTTTTATAAATAGCGGATGCGTTTCTAAATTGTAGCTAGTCCTAAGCATAAAACCTTCACAAATTTTAATCAAAAAAATTAGTTATAGGTCGCAAATTCTCGGCTTTTTCAAACCCTTTCCTAATTTTTTTCATTGGAAATTTTACTGCTTTAAATAGAGTTAAAATTTACTATTAAATGTGTAAAATCGCTTTGTATTTGATTAGTAGGTCAACCGGGACCGCCAGGAAAAAAAATTGGTTCACCCCGGGAATGCTTCCCCACGCCCGCGAATCCTAAAAAACCAGAAATTCTTGTAAACCTGTGGCTACGATCCTAGCCGTATCGAGCAGTGCTTTGGATGTTTCACCGAGTCCGGCGCGTTGTACAAGGTCGAGACAGCGCATAATCTAAAGATTTCCGTAGCCCTTTCACTCTCACCATCTCTCTTTCTCTCACTCTCTCCGTCTTTATCGGTCTCTCTCGCACTCGCTCGCACTCTTTCCTACCTCCAGGAATAGGGCTTCGATAAACACCTGGATTAACAGCGCTTTGTCGTGGCTTTTCAAGCTGACCGCAGCCTTGCGCCTGAAATCGCAAACACGTAGTTAAAACCCATATTGAATCTTATCCTGTGCCCACCGCTGCCGTACCTTTGCTGTCGCAGCGACCAATAGATGAGGCCATAAAAGGTAAGATTTACTACCGGCATCCCGTACTGAATCACGGCCACAATCGTAGTAGCGACAGGGGATGGTGTGTTGGTGGGCGGAGGGTGATTTGGAATGGGTCTCTTGGGTCCCAGTACGCGGAGACCCATTATGATGCAGAGAATGATGAAGGCGACAAATATTGTGATCGGCATCCGGCGCCTATAAAGCAGATTTTTTGCTCTGATCTGCACTTTGAGCGTTTTTTGATTTTTGGTGGATCAAAAAACGCATGTTTTGCATAGATTTTTGTAAAAATTAAATGTTGTTAAAATTCAAGGGGTAAAATATAAAAACGAAAAATTTAAATAAGTAATTCTTGTTACTTGGTGAAGATGCGCTGCAGCGGGTAGGCGACAAAAACGGCGAATCGATTAAGCGATATCAGAGAAACGAGGATAAACAGAGCTTGATCAGTAGCGTCAAGACCATAGATACCTAAATTTATATTCGTGTTCAAAAAGTATCCATTATTATAATATTAAGTGTACAAAAATAAGATATCGTTATGAATAATCGCGTAGTTAAAGGTATGATTACAGGTTTTTATGGCCATCAGTCCTCTATCAACCTTAGGGAACCCGCCACACGCGACGCACGCAACTCTAGACGTTTGGAAGGGGCAAGCCGGCGCTCCAAAGAAGGGCCGCGGGCGCGTTGCGTGTCGCGGCCGTGCCAAAAAACCAGAAGCTGCCACTTGCCCATCCCTTTAATGAGGAACGTACCAATCACCGAATCCTGCAGCCACTCGGAAAATGGGAAAGCACCCCAGCCAAATATTTGCTGCGGGAAGATCTGAAGCCAATGCTGCAAAAGGTGGACCCAATCCACGACGGCCAGGCAGTAGACAATTTGGTAGAATGGGGCCTGAAATGTTATACTTGAGGGGAAGTATCGTACCTCGTTGAACGTCTTCCGCCCATAGATCAGGATCGTCAGGAACAAGGTCACCGACACGGAACCGATCGTTAGGGCGGTGGTGTAGACTATTGGAAAGATTAGGGGGGCCGCTTCAGATGTGGCCATCGATTTTTACTATACAAAACGGTAGTAAGGAGGCTCTAGAAGGTAAAAATTTATTGATGGAGTCATGAACTATAGAAAAGTATTTAGCGACCGCCAGACCCATTAAAAATTTATCAACTTGCGAACTACAGTTAAAATTTGAACGATAAGAATGGATTAACTTTTTAAAATTGTTGACGATGTAACGGTTTAGCTTTACCGCGTTTTTCTGGGGTACTAACGCACCGGAAGAGCTGTATATGAGAAAAATACCGGGCACAGGAAGTACCCGGGCCCTGGCCCAGTGCCAGGGTCATTTCGCTGCTAAGTGCCCAGGCGAAAATCGTTAACCGCCAATTTTCTGGCTACCGCCCACTTTGCGGCGACACTGTAGTCCAAAGTTTGGATCAAAATAGGATTTCGTAACTAGCCCCCATTTTCTGTATAGTCTCAGGTGATCAGCCGCATCTTAAAATACCTTCAGAGAGTTTGGTAAGTAAGATTGCCGATGTCCAAATTTTGTAGAGCATCCTGCTCCTTTTTAGTGATTTTTGCCATGAGTTTGAGCCAACTGTAAGAACATACGAAAAATGGAGTTTGCAACCTGTTTCTCACTTTCTCTATCTCTCTTTCTCTCATTCTCTCGCTCTCGCTCTCTCTCTCTCCTTTCTAGCTCTCTCGTACTCGCTATCCCTCTCTCATTCGCTCTCTCATTCGCTCTCTCTGTCTCTTTCTCGCTCTCCAGCAAGAAAAGCACGGCAAAGAAAAGCACGTTTATATTTGCGGTATAAGAAATTTTTATACCGAATAAGAACGTTTATTAAATTAAAACTTTAAAAATACATACACTCATCATCAGAAAGCCGTCGCGGGGTGTACCGGTAAACATGGGGTGGGTGGGGTTTCGGGATTTTTGTAATAAATGAGATCGTGCAAGAACGAGACTAGGCTTGGACCCATAATTAATGCAAAATGTGGCTGTAGGGGCTTGCTAGAAACTTGACATTAAAAGTATATAATGGCAAAATATTGTTATATTTGGAGCTTATATAATCGCGTCCTCGTCGTCGATGCATCGGAGTTCTTCCTGGAGGAGGCGTTTGTTGCCTAAAACTGAAGGTATAAGTTGAGGGGTAAATTTGAAAAAGCCTTCACCTTAACTGACTTAACTAGCTTATATCTTTCTGTAGTTGATCATTATGCTCGTCAAAATTGTCAAAAACGAGCGGAAATCGTAGTTTTATAGCTTTTTAAAAAGAGAATGAGATTGTAAATGAAAATTTTTTTTAAGTGAGATTTTTAAAAGTACCAAAATCACTTGTAAAGCCATTAAACTGTTTGTATCTTACCTGGCGGTGGCGATAGTGGGTCCCTTTCTTCTTCCAAATCCGATAGCGCCGTGGACGGCCTCGTGCAGCCGGACAGGTCGCCGCTGCTCAGCGCGCTAAATTAGTGCTGATACTCCGGTTTTGAAGGTCGATCTCAACGCCCTAGAAACCGCCGAAAAATCCTACCAGGAAGTGTCCCTCGTGTAAAAGTTGAAAATGTTGTTGTTCGGCCGGCAGTTCGTGTACTTCTTCTTCTGGTCGGCGTGGTTGGGCGAGGCACAATTCGAGGGGCACTCCACCACGATTGACGGCGGCGGTATCGAGCTGTTGGAAGCGTCGGGGTTTTGGGGCTGGAAAACCGGGAATTTCGGTTAAATTTCATAAAATTACAAAAACCAGATAGCATGGCATCACAAGCATACCTTAATGCCGTTAGGAAGCGGTGAGTTGGGGTAGCTGGTTAGTATCGATGGCGTCGGGGTGCTCTCCATACTCCTGACCTCGTCAAGCCGGTGCTCGTGGTGGTCGTGGCAGAAGTATTCGGACGACTGAAAGTACGAGACGTTACGGGTTTGTGCGGTTACTCGGAATTTTCGGATTTCGAACTAAGATTTAACTAAATCTTGAATGCATCGCGCCATTACACGCGCCGCAACCCCCCAACGAGCACCCGCTAATTTCGATTGCGTAATCGATTACGACGTGCTAATCCTAAGGGAAATCCAACCAAAAAAATCCGTAGAGTAGACAATACCTTGTTCGTCCATTTAAAACTTTGCATTATAGGTTTTAGCGCAATTAGGCTTTTGGATACTATTACCCACATTCCGACTGCTCTTATAGTACTCGGCCGCGGAACTGCTCGGCGTTTTCACCGGATACGTGCAGTTGAACAGGTTGTAGTCGATCTGGTAGGACCCATTGCTCCGCTGGTAGGTGACCAACTTTCGGAACCTAGTGCAAAAAGTTTTACAGACAAAAGAAATACAGTATACCGGTGACCCCACAAAATTTCGGTCGGTAAATAGCTCGTCCTCGCCTGGGCCGTCATTCCGGTCGACTCGACAATTCCCTAAATCGATTTTTATATGGGCTTCAAGGCCGAGGTATCAAAAAGTCTTGCTGCTTGCAGTCGCTATACCTTTAAAGCGTTAATTCCAGTTTATATTCTTCTGACAATAATGCATCGAATAGCGAATTTTTATTTTGATTTTTGGGCCAATTTGTTACGCTTTAACGACTAACGACTTGTTACGCAATTCCCAGACGCCCACCTCCAACAAAACAATAATCTCAAATTGCGCCGACGGGAGCGCATGGGCGGCATATTCATACAATGGGCTCTCCTTGTCGATCACGTGGCATAATGTGGTGGGCCAGACCTAGAGAAGGGAATAGGCATCGTTCCCAGTAAATATCCCATTTCCGCATACCAGGAATATCCGGTCGTCGTCGGTGATGCTCGGGCCGACCTTCATCTCGTATTGATGCAGGGGTTCGATCTGGAATAATAACCGTAGATTTTTTGCCAAATAATAGGTTTTTATAAAGACTCCAAAATTGGGGGTCTGCTAGCGAAGCCTATATTTTGCAGGAATTTTTAGATGATTCAAAATCTGTTCTTAAAATTGAGAGCAAGCTCGATTTCCAACTTTGGGGACGGTTTTTGTAGCTTGTCGTAGTTCAGATCTTATAGTATTTTGTTTTATTGGTTATGGTTATTGATACGAAATTTGTGGTGCCAGATACCTCTAAAAACCTGGTAAAATACTTTTTTTTGGGAAAAATCAGGCTACTATCAGGCTGCTATTTGTATAAATGGCTATTTGGAGTGAGAGATAACAGCAGAGCTACCCTAAGCTTTATGAAAAGTTTTGTGCCGTTTTTTCCGCTTGTTGGCAAGGTTTGCACAATGATTTAAAAGCGTTGAAAAGATTTAAAAAATGAAGAAGGTGAGGGCCACACTTAAAGTGGGGCATTTTTTAGAGACACAGATCTCTAAAGACGATATTCAAAACGGACAAAACGATACCATCATTAACGTTCAACAGAGCGTATTAACTCATTTTTTGGATTGAGACCCACCTCGCCCTCACTCGTCTCACGGTCCGTAATGAATTGGAGCCGTACGTGTGCTTCCACGAGATGCGTATTCCGCATGTCTCCGACCCGACAAAGGAAACACAGCTGACCGTCTCGGAGGCAGATCACCGCTTTTTCACTGGAAAATTGGTCGTTTTGGAATCTATTGTAAAGCATACCTAAATATAATAGTCTCCGCCCGTTTCTTGGGTCTTGCCATTTTTGCAAAAACGAGTCCGACCATGAATGATTGGATCAAGAGCCCGCAGATGCATTGAGTACAAACTACAAGCCCAGCAGTTTTGCACTCGGTTGTTGTGTATCTAAAAGGTATCGAAATTAATGCTCATAGTGTTAGGGACTCAGAGAGAGAGAGAGAGAGAGAGAGAGAGAGAGAGAGAGAGGAAAGAAAACGCCCTTATCCCTACCTATGCCCATATCCTATCGTATGATGCGTCTCCACCGCGAATAGGAATGACGCGTAGAAACCCTCTAGGTTTGCGATACATTGCGTATGGTTAACATTCATTCCAGCCTCCATCAGCTGCTCCGGCAGATCGCCGTGGAACCACGCAATCATATAATACAGCGTCGCAAAAAACGACCAACTAAAACGATTCCAAACGTCCCATTTTAAGCTTTCGAAGGGCCGAAGCCTGTCATTTCTTCGGCTTACCTGCTAATAAACACCAACGCAAAAATAACAAACATATACCGCCACTTGACATCAATCATGGTAGTGAAAATATCCCTACCAATTTTTCAGTTTGATTTCGAAATTCTAGGTATACCGTAAATACTGTCTATCCTTTTTCGGCACGTTAGCGTTGTACACATTACAAACCCCGTTTTTCGAGATCAGCCGTGATTTTTTCATCTGGAAATATGGTTTGGTTAGGTATCTTTTCATCTGATTACGCTATGTAATTGACTGATTGGATGACTACCTTTTTCGTGCTCTTCCGGGTGAGCGGCGACGAATTCCGACGTGCCGTAAGGGCGAGGGTTCGGAAACTTTCAGAGAAGGCATCTGGAAGAATGGGTTTTGGAGCGGTTAAAGGGGCGTGCAAGTGGTTTTTGGATAAGTTTTTTTGTTTGTTGGTATATGATTTTTCTTGTAGTATTACTAGAATCAAGAAAGCTGGAAAAGTTTTAACAGCGTAATAGTTTCGAAATTCTTTTACCACTGCCAAATGACAAGAGAATAGTTATTGTTCGGAGCCTTTTAAAATGGCATAGTGATGTCAAAATTTTAGTTAGATTTTGACGACTACGTGATCACACAGGGTCTGTTCTGACAGGGTCTGTTCTGTTTTGTCCACATTCTAGGGAAGCTGTGCAACATTTAATTTAACAGCTGATACAATCTTCTCGGCGGCCCCATTAAATTAAAATTCACAAGGTTACTAGCTAGAAAATACTTGAAAAATATCACTACCCCGTCCCATACCTGAAAAATTGGTCCTGGAAATTTTTCGAAATATCGATTCATCATCAAACTCGAACATCGAAAGGTGCAGAATAGATCCCAGACCGGGAAGCCACAAATCCCATGCGCTTATCCGAGCTCAAAAGCAAAGATGCTCAAAGCCCGGTGCGCATTACCAAATC